AATTTACTTATATACAAAGTTCTATCATATCATATCAATAATTTCAAATCCAAAAAATATACAGATTCAGCAATACATTGATTTTTGTTTACAATTTACATTTACTTGTAGCTATAAATTAAATTTGTAATTTATAATATTTGTGGTCTTACTTTTAAAAGCATCTCATCTGATTTATTGTGAATTAAAATAATTTTACAATTACCAATGGCTTTTTTACTCTATATACGTTACTCATGTTATTTGAATCTTAATTGTAAATATCAAATTTATTTATTGTAATAATTTTATACATATTGTAAATTGTCTTTATAAAAAAAAATCTAAATTTGCACTAATATTATTTATTAACTATAAATAAACTTTAGTTAGAATCAGGTTGCCATGTTTATATGTGTGTAAGACAGATGCGGATGCAGGTGTAGAATCTTCTTGAACTCCTTGGACTCCAGTTATCTACACTCATATAACACTCATAACTCATAACTCATAAGATAGATATTTCACGTGACGGTGACGCCATTAAATAAACATTAAACACCTAAACAAACAATTAGCCAATAGTCATTGTCCATCAGGTACTTCAAAATTTTACTAAACCAATTTAAACCACTAACTAAAAACAATTTAATTCAGTGATTTAAACTTTTTATATTTTATTTCTATTATTTTAAATTTTAGTGGGAGACATGGTTACAGTCATAGATAAAAGGTACAGTTATTTATATATATATATATATAAGATTTGTAATTAATTTAAAAAGTGAATGTATGCAACAGGTTCACGGCGTTCACGCAACAAACCAACAAAGGCTTCCGTAGTTTCGTTCATCAGAGTACCTTCAGAGTTCAGCTTCAGACATCAGACTCCGACCCTACAACTACAAGGCCACAAATCACAATTTATATTGTAGACTTTAACGCTCTCTAGCAATGAATAGCGATAGTGATTATTTCTTATCTACTATCATCATTGACGTATAAATTGACGTATTATTTAGGTCTATCGGCTACATGGTACCTTTATTATTACTTGTAATAATTATTATTTGTTTCCAGCAGTTGTTACAGTTACCTCGACTAGTCGTCGGTCGTCGTTGTTCGCTATTAATTATCTCGTTAGTCGTTTGAAGTCTTAATTGTATTCCCCACGTTTGATTTTGCTTAGTGATAGTTATTAATTATGCGTTATTAAATATTTGTATTGTATTTTCCATTTCGCATTCTCAGAAGTGTCAAATAACTACAACAATAATTATGACGACTAAAATTTTTTACTGTGCTTTATCTTTTGTTTTTCTTACAATCTCCACAGTGTCTCCTCACGAAGGTAATTTACATTTATATAAATACCTATTATCAATGTCGTACTTGACTTAAATTTAATTAATGATCTATTCAGTATACACACCTACATGCTACATTTACAATTTTGGCGTATCTATGTTATGCTACTGCTGTTTGAATTCTTTATTTTATTGCCTTATTGGTACTTTATGATAAAACAATATTTATATGTATACCTACTAGGCTACTACTTATTAGACACTATTTTATTTAGAGGTCATGGTAATTATTAGGTACCTGCTTTCATATTACCCATTAATATGATATTCTTAAACATCTTATTTCTTGATATTATTTTATTTTAACATACGTAAACTAGTCAAATGAATGAAATACATTTTCCTTGTGTTAAAATTATTAAATYATAGACATTTTAAGTGATATATTGTATTTTGTTGGTACTCATATATTTAATCAGTGTTCGGAACATTAACTAAAAAAAATGGATTCGTTCATATTCATGTTCAGTCCTTAAAAAAGGAACTCGTTCACATTCTTTGAAAAAATTAATGCGTTCATAAAGTCGTTCATCTAATTTTTTGTTTATAAATGCTATACCAACAGTTTTTATAAAAACCCACCAACATAGGACTCAACCCAAAAATAAAAACAATTWAGACTTTAGAGCATATACATTTCTTAAAGTATCTAAGTTATATACATATATTTATTAAATAGTAAATAAATCGAGCATCTTAAAAATCGTTCATGTTCAATTTCTAATTAAAAAAACGAGTGACGTTTGCTTATCGTTAACTAACTATGAACGTGAACATGTGTTCATTAACGACATTCTTTCCAAACACTGTATCTAATGTATATCTATAATATATACCTGTATCTAAATTATGGATGTATTGAATAAAAATTAATATCTAATGACAAAAAAAAAAGTATTGTTTACATAAATTATGAGATTATTAAAAACAATTATAGAAATTACTATATAATCTTATATTTATAAATATTTAATATAAGTTA